AGAGAGAGAGAGATAGAATTTTACGAAATTGCAAGCAGAAAATTGAAAATACGAACATTTTGATAGGCAAATGCATAATATTCCCGATTCGGGAATATTCCAAACTAAATTTGGTAACTGTGCTCTGTACGGAAATCTCATTTCTGCGCTCGGAACCGATGGCGAGCGGACGTCGCAGAATCGAGCTTTGATGTCAGGAAGTACATCGCGACGAGCATCGAATTAAGGGATATCCATCGGGCGATAACTTATGTTGAATCATTCGAATCATTCAGCTGGCTCGTTGATTTCGGAGCAATCCGGCTGGACCGCCGAACAGAAGCGCTTGACGCATGTCTACGTCAGAGATATAATGGAGATTCAATTCGCGAGCAATCTAGACCGAGAGAGCAAGCCGGATGTCAGACAAACAGAAGATATATATAGAAATGCGTAACGATAAAAAAAATTATGAGAATACTTAAGATAAATTCTAATTAAAATAACTCAAGATGCAAATGGAAAGCCACATATGTACATAAATAACAATAATTAATCATCGTGATAATTATCGTTATTTATTAACGCGATAAAGATAAAAAAATAGCCATTTACATAACGTAACTAAGCATAAGCTTCGCTTTTTCGAACCTTTCTCGACCAATGTCGCCGCGTGGCATTGAAATAAAAAGGAAAGTTTTCCATTTTAATAAAGAGAGGAGGAGTATCAAGATTTCACCTTACGGTTCAGTCGGACGGGCGTAACATTTCAGAAAGCAAATTTACGGGCATCTCGAGCCGATACTCACGTCCGGAATACGCGCGCGTATATTCGGAGGAATTATAATTGAGCATAGTTTAATTAGGCTGTCCCGAAGTTGGATGTACACCCGGGCAACTGACCCCATCTAACTTTAACCCCGGAGACGGCTCTCACGTCCGTCGTAATGTGACCCCCGTCGGCTCGATTATATCACTTATTTATACGATATTACTTTGTACAAATTATGTAAACTCTGGACAAGTCCGTCGGTCCTTCGCAATCGCCAAACATGTAACTCGTACCGATATCGAGGAAGACGGAGCACGATGTTATACAGGGGTCGGTGTATCCGAAATGGAACTGAAATGTCCGACGTCATTTTCCGCGGCGTGCGCGGAGGTAGAGAAAGACAAATATCTTGCGTGTAAACACGTGATGTGTTTTCCTCCATTCACTTTCGAGCCGCAGAGCGACGTCGGCCATTTCATTTCCATGGCATTGAAATGTATACGGGGTATACGGCTGAAAAAGCGGGAATCAATAGCAAAGACGGATCTTCGCTATTTGCTCGGCGTGCATACGCGTAATTCCCTCGCAAAAATCCCTCGCGACTTTTATTCGCGCCGCGGAGAAAAGAGAGAACGACGCGACGCCGACCTCGCATTATCGACACATCTGTCACATTTCTTCCTTTCCGCTCGGTTCGCGAGGTTCGCGTAATCTACAATTAAGTCGACGCACTGTATTACCGAAGACCCGATATACCCGCTCGTACAAACAATATCTATCCATATAAGCAATCAATTTCTCGAATTGCTTTTTGTACACCAGCGGGAAATACCTGCGCGCGAGATGCGCCGGGTGCAATATGTCAAAGTAAATATTGACAAACGATTGCCGCACACGGGCGAGTGTCGAATATTAATATTAATGCGCTGACGGTATTTCTCGTTAATGACGGTTTCACTACTTTCGAGGAATTTCCCGAGTCACTGATTAACGATTCTGTTAATTGCTCGATGGCACGTATAAATCTTGCCTTGAGGCAAGACACGTATAAACTCGTGAGAACCGGAACCGAGTACAATTGTCTACTAAGGGAATTGTCTAGAAAAACAACCTATCTCATCTCTTTGATTTTATCATTGAAACTTCAATATTAAAACCTTAATTATGTTCTGTTTTTTTCTTACTTTTCATGTCTTGAGAATTTTTTTCTCAATCTTTTGATGCCGATGAGGATTAAGTTCGAAACGTTCATTTTTAAATATTATTTAAAATGTATTTAATTTTTCATCACCTTTCTTCATCATTTTTTCAACATTTTTTTCATCAATTTTTAATCGTTTTCCGTCCTTAATTTGACCATTATTTCCCTTCATATTGCTTTGCAACAAGTCTATATTATTTTATTATTTATTTTAAGACAAGGTATTATTCCTGCAGAATAGAAACTCACTTCAATTATGATAAAATCTCAAAAACAATTTGTCTTGCGATTCTATAGGAGACATTGTTATTCAACTTAAGGGAGCAGGAAAAAGAAGAGAGAGAGGCAACTAAGAAGTCGGAAGAAAGAATCCACAAGATTTGCTCGTGACGTCGTCGTAATCCAATCGAAGTTTTATCTAGGAACCGAAAGGACACACCGTCGACGAAACTTGCGGGCGGAACTTTTCCTATTCGTATCGCAATAAAATTTACATCTCCGCGAATCTCCGAATCCGTAAACCTCGCGGAATATTAGAACACGTTACTTTCCTCTATCAAATCTTCTTTCTCCTTAACCTCTTTTTCTTTTCCTACCTGAAATTCGTTTCCAGTAAGTACTGATTTTCTGCTTTAACACCCGACGGTGTCGTCGCAATCCTATACACTATTTCACTTCAATCAGCAACATAATTGAAAAAAAGTACCTTAAAGTTTGTACTTAATTTTTCTCAACTATATTACTGATTTGTTTGAACTGTTTATAGCTTCAAAATAATTTAAAACAATTCATTTTACAAATTTGATATCATATTTAAAATCACTTATTCGATTAATTTATACACAAGATATGTATTTATAGAGCATTTTTCTCAATCTTCTTGCTGATTGGTTTGAATTATTTTTTTATTTAAGCAAATAATTTTGCAAATCTGATTTATTTATTCTTAATCAGCAATTCAAAAAGCTGCCATCTTGTGTTAAACTGTTTGTTACATAACATTATTCTATTTATAGTTAATAAGAGGGTGAAAATTGAAAGGATAATAAAACCTGGCTCATGGACCAAAATGATAAAACATGGGTAAAATATTTTTCATAGTTCGATATTTATGTCAAATCTGAAAAAATTTGAGGATCATACTTGAGTAGGTTTACTAGTTGATTTACGTTCCCCTATTAAATTCCTAATCAATTCTAACATACGTTTGTGAAACTGCTGATTATATTTTTATGTATATACCTGGAATGAGCGCAATAATGGCTGCCAAGTTTTTAAATTATCATTTGAATTTGATTTGTCATATAACATTTTTTCTCTGTTATATGTACATATTTATAATAAATAAAAATATGTAATATATTAAAGGATCATATGTATATTTTCGTTTGTGACTTTTCTTACATTGGAATATGTGATTTGGGTACAATTATTTGACTGTTCGTGGACAAGTATGGTAACTTTTACTTTCTAAATTTTAATGTAAAATCTGTACAAAATTTATTTGATTGATTATTCAATATGCGCGACTTAACTCTGATGCGAGATGTGATCAAACTGTTTCCCTCACGCGATAAGGCAATCGAAATGACCGATACAGGAATTGCTGTACCGCAGTACAGTTCGACCGTTCCAATTCTCAAATTTTATCATTGAAGAGAGCTCAATCATGGAGCCGAAACGTTTGATGAAAGAATAAGAATAAAAGAAAGATTACATAGTAAATTGCATATTGTTTACCGCGCCATTCCCAAAGCCCTATTTTTTTCACTCATTTATTAACAATTATTGCGATTATATTATATGCGTAACTAATAGTTGAGTGTTAAATAGATATATATAATATCAAACACAGAATAGACTAAGACCATGGATTTGCTTGGAATGATGTGAAAGTAATTATTAAGATAGCACCCTCCCCCCACCAGCGCAAAATAAATTTTGATCATGATGATTTTATATCATAAAATTACGTGCTAATTAGGTGCTCAAGCTTGAAATTAAGTGCTCAAATCGGCAGAAAAGAAACACAAAGACATCGAATTGTTGGATCAAGCATACTTTGTTTGTCTAAACAATTAATAACAACATTACATTATTAGTCTCCTGGTTTAGGTTATTGTTATTAAAATTAAAATTTCTATATTCTTTCCATTGTTTCATTTTTATATTGCATTATTTTAGTAATTTTTAGAATGTGCTGCTATCAAATTCAACCGAGTAACAAATTCATTGTTATAAATATATGGATATAAATATAAGACTCGAAACTTAACTTCTTTCAATTTGTTTATATCCGAGCCTTTAGAGTGAGCAACAAATTCTAGTTTTGCAATTTTTCAAAAGCTTAAAATCTGTGGAATCTACGAAACAATGATTTATTATATTAACGAATCTAATTATTGACTAATGAAAAATATTAAATATAATATTCGTAATATTAATTAAAAGTTCATTGTCATCAATATTTCAAGTCAATAAACAACCTTCATTGTTTAGAATAAACAACCCTCATTGTTTTGTACAATATATATATGTTGTACAATATATATTTATTATATATTATTTATTAAAATTTATTTATTATTAAATATATATTTCGTAAAATATATTCGTAAGATTTAAAAATACTTTTATTTTAGAAAATAAAGAAGGCAACTCTCGGCAAACTGGATTTTAGAAGTCCGGTAATTTTTTAAAAAAGGAAAAAACAGGAGAAGACTAATCGCTTTCAAAACTTGATTATCTATTCATTAAAAATTTGTTTAAAAATGATTTTACGATGTAGCTGCGTAGACTGCTAAGATCGAATTCGCCAAGAGTTGCTTTCTTTATTCTTTAATTATTTGATACTTAGCTTGGCAGACATTACATTGTATTATTTTATCTGAATGTTTTATAATAAATTATTTTAAAAGAATTAGGGAATTTTCTCAAGAAAT